GTAATTGCTGTTGCTGTGTGATTTTAGTGGAGGGGAAGTAACCCTGTAAAAACATTTGGACAATACAGTAAACCTAAAAACATGTGACTATAGAAAAAAAAAAAAAAAAAACGAACAGTATATTTCATGATCCCCTGCTTTCAGAACAGGAAGGACTGTTACGTTCAATCAATCAAATTGTATTTATTTATGAACAAATCACAACCTGACATCCTCTGTCCTTAACTCTCACTAAGAGTGAGGACAAACTGCCAAAAAAAATATATATTAACAATCAATAACCTCAGAGAGAGCCAGATGTGAGGGGTCCCTCTACGTGGAGTGACAGAGGTGCGACAGACATCACGAGTAGCAGAGCACAAACAGTATTCACAACAGATATAAGTGTCCAACATGGAGAGGTGAGTGAATGTTTAAAGTATTTACACATAAAAAAGTAAAGGGAAATAAAATTGGGCTGTAAAGTTCTCTCAAGGTTTCTCACTGTATACCAGTGTATATATCAGTTTTATGTTAAGTGATGTGCTGCTCAGCATTACTCTTGAACTCGCTGGGCCTCGTTCCTGCAGGCTGAGCCTCTGACAGTCGTTCACTGAGGCACGTCCTGCAGGAGATCACACCAGTTCACCAAAGTTACATAAGATGGGAATCAAACAGAGGCAATTCTTCTAATTACAAGTCGGCGCGTAACATCTAAATGATTCTGACGCTGTTCTTTTAATTCAGAATTCAAAATTAAAATCTCAGTAAGGTAAGATCGTGCCAAACGTAAAAGACAGTCAGGCCGGTCTTCGGTTCCGTGTTGTGGTATGTGATAAACACGGCACCCTTCAGGCGTTGCTTGGTTGGTGTGTAGGACCATCTGTGAATACAAGGGTAAGCCTGGAAAAGTCTGCAACTGAAACTTGAGGTGTCAGCGCAATTTGGTCCAGTTTCTCAGAGAGTGCTCATGGGAGTGTAGCAAAACAGAAGTTTCCATGGAGAGAAGCTTCTAATCTAGAACAAGGCCTCCTCGCTGTCTGAACATATGCCTCTGTCTGAGCATTTATATGAAGCTTATCAGTAGCAGCTGTTCTCCCTGAGCTCGGCGTTAGACAGTGTACTGAGATATATGAGGCTTTTAACAAGGTCCCTGGGAATTAGTTCCTCGCACTCCACACAGACACCTGTGCACACGTGGATGAATTCATATCTCCTGCTCCATCTGTGGCAGCAGGGACATTATCACTGGGGTGTGTCAAAACTTGTATAGATGGCCTTCAAATCAAAGAGGAGGGGGTGGAAGGTGTGATTAAAATGAATGAAGTCACTGTCTCTAACACAGATTACAGACTTCACATTGCTTCTCGATGAAAATGGGAATTAAACAAATGACAGTAACTGTTCAATTGATAGTAAGGCCCCACACACAGTTATATAATGTGTCACTGGTTTGTGTTGTGTTGGTTTTCCCCCCAACTCATTTGTTGAGTCACTTATTTCCCTTGTATGCTTTAATGATAATGATGTCCTTCTTTTCCCACAGTTCTTATCCTTTCTTTTATGAAAGTGGAACAAAAAAGCAAATAGCAAGTGTAAGCAGTCGGGCTGCAAGTATTAGATTCCAGTCTGAACTCGTCACACTCCTAAATTCACCCACACGTGACAAGATGACCACACACATTGTTGTACAGAAGTAAACATGGCCACCATTGACGTCAGCAGTTTCATGTTGATTGTCAGTGAAAGTTGATTTTATGAGCAGATGCTAACAAGGGTGAGGAGAAAGAGAGCCGCACCTTTAATTATGGCTTTTAAAGGCAAGAGCTGCGACTTCTGTGTGTGTGTGTTTGTGTTTGCAGTGTGGTGAAGTTGATGTTAAGAAGTCAACCCCAGCTTCGCAGGTCTTATCACAAAGCTGTGATGAAGATGGCCGACGGCATTGTTGAGCAAAGACACGTTAAAGCACATTCCATCGAAACGTCTCGTGAAAGTGAAACGGTTGAACTGATGTGATTTCACCAGCGTTTTCCAGAGAGACGGTCATTCAGAGAAGCAGCCAAACACAGAACACGACACTTTTCTTCCTATGTTACATTTAAAGAGACGGGAATTCTTCTCGGTGGTGAAGTGTGTAGGTGAGAATGTGTTGGCAGCTGGTGCTGGTGGCCAAACTCAGCCCTGTTTTTACAAATTGAACTAAATCAGATTAGTGTCAGGGAATTGAGGCAGCGATTGATTTTTCTCTGCAGATGCGCTGCCGAGCTGCATAAGGCCTTGTTTAGCTTAATCACAACAAATTTGACACCAGCCAAAAATATTTCTCAATCTGTCCCACTCTCTGAGCGAGGGGAGGTTTTATCCGCTTGCGATCAAACATCAAACACAGAACACCATGAGTTCCATGTTCCTTTTTGCAATTCTTATGAAGCCCGGCGTCAGACTTTAAAACGTTTTTATCACAGTGAGTCAAAGATTAGGATTTAATTCTTATATTACATTTGAGCTGTTTGGATGTTTTCTAATTACTACTTGGGTTTACACAGTTTTGATTTTCAGAAACCATCTGCGTTTAATAATCCGCGCTGCACTGAAATGGTCCCGTGAGAATGAACACAACTCTCACAGATTCAATTCAAATAATGATTTCTTGTAGTTCACGACAATAGTTTCTGTGATGGTGTGAAACCAACGCATCATAACCACTGACTAAATAAAATGGAGGACATAAGATCAGTTATGTATGTTTGACTTATACCTACAGTGAGAGAGTGGGTTCTCAGGGCGACGGGGTTTCTACTTTGACGACAGGGTCAATTTTGTTTTTTGCAGGAAATGACACTTGATTTTAGAATCGTACCGCGAGTGTCACGTGTATTATTTAAAAAATAGAGAAATGGAAATTACCTTTATATCACTGTGTTGTCAGAAAGAGAGAGAGAGGAGCGGCAACAACAATGGAAAGCCTACTGATGCCTTATGATATAAAAAATAAATAAAAGAAAAGAATGCCACAGTATACAGAAGGCATGGAAACAAATTAAATATATATTTACTTTATAGCACGACGCTAACTTTCACCTGAGGAAATGGCTGATGTTTCACATAAGCTTCGATTTCTTCAGATGCTGAGCCCATGACCATTCTATAACCTTGCTGTTGTAACCATGACGACAGAGGTCCTTTAACCTTATACTCTTTAAAACTAAAGCCGCGATCTTTCCCCTCAGCTGATTTCGCTTTATTTACCTTTGTGCTCATGTAGGCTGAAGGACTTGTTGGCCACTTCACACCGACAGAGTTGTCCTCAGGTGGTCCCACCCGACACGACTGAGTTCTGCAGCGACAGAAGTTGATTAAATGAATTTATTCCCGTGGCAGGTCTGCATGTGTGTCAGAACTTTGGAGCAGAAATTAGGACCAGTTCTATTCCCTGGGACACATAGTAAATAAATCCTGGTCCTGGATTGCATTTAGGTCAAGTTATATTCAGATCAGAGGGTTATAGTCACCATTGAGATTTAGTTTGTTCAGTGTGTGTGTGTGTGTGTGTGTGTGTGTATAATTGTGTGCCTGCAGCTGACAGAAGATAAATGATTCTTCCTGGGAAAACACAAACACTCCCCTCTCCAGCTCTCGTCTGCTCCCAACCTCACTCACACTCCTGTCATTTCTCCCAGTTGTTTGGTCAAATAAATAAATAAGTGCATCAAAAATAAACATTTCATCTCGTCAGGCTTTGCAATGTGTCGATTCGCTCCACGCCTCTTGAACCTTTGATTCTCCAGCATCCCCATAGTGATTAATAGCTCAATCTCAGGCTGGCTAATGAGTTTTATCAGGAGCCGCTGGTGATTAATTAGCAACAGCAAAGAGCATGTCACTGCTTTATTCTGGCTTAGCCATTTCTTCCATGCTCTGAATCTGCTCTCTACAAAGAGATAGCTCATCCCCAGATGACATTTTATACAGAGTTACATCTCTGCAGCACAAATACACGGTGCTTTGACAATATTGCTGTAACAGTGATTGTGGTTACACAGCATTACGTTGATTCTTTCATCATTCACAGAGGCAAACATAAGACTATTGTGCTCTTTGCTTTGCTGAATCACCGGTAAAGTAACATATATGTTCATATCGGTGAATATCCTGCTGAGGAAAGAGCTGTTTGCTCGTCTGAAAAGCAGCTTACAATGAACCACGGCTAAGTTTCATCATCAGGTGACCCCTAGTGGCTGGAACGATTATGATGAGAGAAGAAGAGGAAATCAGGTGAGGTCGTGTTTAGAGAGATAAAGTGCATCAGGAGGACGTTGTGGTGGATTGATGGGTGAAGACACAGAGGCCACTGCTCATTTCCTGTTTGAGACTGAAAATTAATAGTGTTGTGTTGTTTGGACCATAGCTGCCTATAAACACATGTTTGTTTGATTTGTTTTCACCGGGTTGTCATCTTAGCACCTTTATTTCAGACAGCTAACAGCTAATTTTAAAAAAAGCACTTTGAGATATATATCAAATACATATTTGGCATGTCTTTGGACAAACCTTAGCAACTTTGAAATACTTTATATGTGATTGGTTTATTTGTGTTTGGTTACAGTGGTTCCACAATAGTTTTCAACCACGTCCTCAATTTGCACATTGTCGAAACACGGTCCAGGAATATACCAGGGTTCGGACTCTTTGACCTCAATCTGATGTTTTTGTGCTAAAACCTTAAACTAAACTATTATTATGATATTCCATGATATCACGTTTCCATGGGTGAGCAAAATGTTATCATGCCCTCTCTTTGTAATGGAAAATAAAATATGTAAAATCATAAAAGTCAGGTTGGCAAACTGTAATTCTTCCTGTATATCTGTTAGATAACATGAACCATAAGACGTGATCATGTCGATAGTCACATTAATACCCTGACAATGTTCCTCTGAAGAGCAGGATCCACATTGGTCCTCATGAATGATGAAAGAGTCACTTGGTTTGACCTCTTTGTGCAATTACTGTCATAAATGCAAGAACACGTTATGAGGTTTCCATTAACATCCTGTTCTTTCAGACACGTCTCATGAGCACTCGAGTCATGTGTGCATGTGCAGGTTATGTATGCACCTGGTGTGTAATCTGCAGTTTGGGACCATGTCACTCTTCAACAGTTCAACAGCAGGGCGAGGGTGTGACGTGCATGTGTATCAGGAAGATGTTTAGAGAGAAACTCTCAGATCAGACTTTACTCTGAGTGCATCTCTTTTTTTTCAGGTTGAACATCGGGAAGAACGACCTGCTGACCTTTTATGATGGAGACGATCTCACAGCCAAGGTGCTGGGTCAGTATGGAGGATCGAAGTCTCATTTTAAGCTCTACACCTCCACCGCGGACATCACCATCCAGTTCCAGTCGGACCCCGCCACAAATGTCTATGGCTACGGCAATGGATTCGTTGTGCACTTCTTTGGTAAGCCATGGTGCCGGTGCTCATCAGAGAGCTGTGACTATGGGCAGATGCTGTTGGAAGTCAAACATTTTAAAACACATTCCACAGTCAAATGTCAATAGTAATTTAGAGTTTATCAGAATTGTGATATTCCCAGTCAATATCCCTCGTCTGCTTTGCCTCATTACCTGCCAGCTGTCGCTGTATATTAACAAAGTATTCAGAGGAATCAGCTTTCATGTTTCAAATGCATTTAAGTTCATGAATCAAAATAATTTAAAAATGGAAGTGGAAACAATATCTTCTTATACATATAAATGTATATCAATAATAACTGTAATATAATATATATTAATGACAGTTTGTCTCGTATTTATTACCTCACTGTGTCTATATTGACTCTTGTTGTGTGTTTTTAATCAGTTTGTACAGTTTGAAAGGGACAGCAATCGAATCTGGTCAGCTGATATAACTGTTTACATAATGCTTTACACAAGAATCTGTGTAGTAAGGAGTTTAAACATGAAGACAAATATCGCAGATGGCCTTTATAGTATTTTATAGTCATACAGAGGAACATAATTTAAACAACTGGAGACTGAGTACAAGCTGAATAGATTGGTCTCATAACATTTTATTATATCAGGATCTGGTCCAACTGAATGTCTCTGACTATATGGCCTCTCAGTGGTCCCTCTTACCTGTTCTGATCTATTGTCACGTCCATGCAGCTGCAATGGTTATGGTAGTTATCAGTTATTGGAATTAATTCAAGAAAGTCTGCACTGTCACAAACCTCAACATATGTATTTCATAGTGAATTAATAATAATATCCACAGGAAACCTGGAAACAGGTCTTATTTGCAGAATTTACTCAAATTAATTTCAGACTAGTACTAGCCATGTATGTTGCTTTATGGAGGTAGCTATATAAAACATCAGAGAACTAAAGACACTGAGTAATTCAGTTAAAAGGAAAGTTCTACGAAATAAAAGTCATTTATTTTTGCTGGTATTGGACCAAAAAAAGAAACAATAAGAATCCATCCCTTGCGTCGGCAGGGTCCGCCTCCAGTGCTGCAGTTTGCCATAACCAACACACAATGTCCGATTAGAGCTAATGAATTCAGAGGAAGAGAAAAGCTTCAGAATAGATCAATAACTCAGGCGATAACAAGAGATAAATGTAAACACAAGACAACAGCATGGGCCGGTGTTGGAGAATTTTTGCTTGTTCAGTGTCCGAGCGCAATTACTTTGGTGTGTTTGTCCAAATTAGTCTTGTAAACAGAGAACCCAAGTCTGCAGCTGTGTGCCTGGGAGCAGAGCAAAGCCAACACGCCTTGAGGGGTTAGAGATATCTGGCAGTGCTCTGGGGAAAGAATCCAAAGAGTCCAGATTCTAATAATGAACCGAAAGTCCTGTCTACAAACTATCGATCAAAACACGAGGACAGAAGACGCTGTCCAGCAGGAATCAACTGGACAGTTTGGACACAATCTGTTTATGCAGAATTTGCATGCGAATATGCAAAGGACACAATTTGGGAAACAGAATCCTTCTTGTTTCCGCTCCTGGTTTTACCTGTGACTTGTGACAATGCTTTAGTTTCCTGCAGGAGAGCTCCCACCAGCATCAAAATAATTACTTCAAATTTTTTTAGGATTTTACCAATATTCCAGAGCAACTTGGCATTTATGCCTGACTGCCATCTTGGTTTGGATTAAAATAAATTGAACTACTTGCCACTGGTTGGCAGTGTCCAGGGTGGTGTCCTGGCATCCAGTGTGGTGACCAATGTGCAAACATGTCATCAGAACCCATTACATTATTTTCCAATGCTCATCTTTCTCTCTCTGCTCCCACAAACTGCAGAAGTGGCTCGTAATGACACCTGCCCCGAGCTTCCAGAGATCTCTAATGGATGGAAGAGCACATCACACCCCGAGCTGGTTCAGGGCACCGTGGTGACCTACCAGTGTTACCCGGGTTTTCAGGTGGTGGGTGCCGAGCTGCTCATGTGCCAGTGGGACCTCACCTGGAGCGGTGACCTACCAAGCTGTGAAAGAGGTGAGAACACAAATGCTGCCACAGCTACTGCCTGATCCACTTAGGATGGAAAGTGTGTTGTATACAAGCTCAGCTTCCGTCTCTGACTTTCAGCACCAACGAGGGAATTCAAAGGAAATGTAGAACATGTGATATTTGTATCATAATGTTTGATTGTATTGGTAGATAAATGAAAAAAAAAGGGTTTTATTGAATTCAAAAGTTATGTCATCACCTTGCCTGACCTTACGGATAACAAACTGTGTTTAGAGTTCTCAGGCTCATTCAACAGCCTGGCAACGATGATAGGAATACAGATAGTCTGGGTAGAGATGTAAACATAACCTCCAAGAGCTAACATTACTCGTAGGTTGATAAAAGAAACATAACATAACAGAAAGGTTTTAACTTGATGGTACCCAACCTTCTTTCTTCTGATGTCCATCCAGTGGTGTCTTGTGCTGACCCCGGGAATGTGGATCACAGCAGGCGGGTGCTGTCGGGTCCTCATTTCACCGTGGGTTCAACCATCCAGTACATCTGCAGCAAGGGCTTCACTCTGTCTGGAAACAGCCTGCTCACCTGCTTCAATCGAGGCTCCTCAGGCCCCAAGTGGAACCAGAAGCTGCCCAGATGCCTGCGTATGTACCAGAGCTGTGTTTCTCAAGGCCTCACACCAGAAGCTGTGTCACCTGTAACTTGTGTCACACGGTACAATGGCACATACCACGTTAAAGCTTTTAAGCTTTGAGTCATCACTCAGATGTTCACAAATTATTTTGTGTAGCCTCACTGATCACACACTGTTTATACCCCAGTAAGTGTCTGAACATCATTATTGTGTTAGAGCTGAATCTTGACCCCTGAACCCAAAGATTGAACATTAATTTATTTTTTGTGACTTTTCCTTGAGAAACATCTTCTGGAAAAGCTTCACAGAAACATCATAACATCTTAATTTAATTTGCTCTATTCCCATCAATCCTATTGAATTTCGGTACACTTCACATTGAACCCTCTGGAGATTCAGACTTTACATTCTGGTTCAGGTTCTAATAGATCGCACAGTTTTTCTCCCTTAAAAAGATTCTAACATTAAAAGAAGTTAATTAGCCTGGTTTTGAATGAAGACGGTCACACGATGACCTACATTGATGTTATAAAGAATCATCTCACTGACAAGAAAAGGAACAAAAATCATATCATGTATAAAATATTAAAATAGGTTTAAATCCATCATTATGGATGAAATATTCTGGAGTCATCAGGTAAAGCCTCTGTGATTAGTTTTATAATTCATTAATAATTGTGATAGAGAGGTGTATCCTTTTATTAACTGAAATCGTGATCACCAGCACCATCTGCCTTGACCTCCTGCCATTCCATTTCTTTTCGGACAGAGGCGGAGGCTAGAAGTGCGTCGGTCTGATTAAAACATAATTAATGTTATTCCCCTTAGCCTTAAAGCCATTAATCTCATTTGCATGAACATCTCATTCTCTGCCTCACCTACTTTCTAGGTGGAGACATAACGTACAGTGGTACTGACTTATATTTAATTTAACCGGACAACCAGAGACAAGGCAGGCCATTGTTATGTATGAGATCACGAGCCAAAGACAATAATTGGCGGAAAACTGTCCATCCAAAACTTATTTTCAGCCTCAGGCGCGAGCGGCTGCAGAGAAACCTGCGTCATGAAGTGGAATCAGCTCTCAGATGTCACAGACATATATTCATACTCAATACTTATTTTATTCCAGGTTGATCACTGTAGCAGTTGAGGGAACAACTGTGAATTCAGAGTAATGATGCAGCTTCATAGTAAGTTTTAAAGACTGTGGAGTTACAGGTGTCTCGGTTCAAACTGGTTAATGTGTTGGAAATCTGTTTTCGTTTGACTTTTAGATTTTAGAGCCATTGATTCCGCCTCATTTCAGTGACCTTATGTCACCATGTAGTTAGGACCCTCTGTTATTTCAAAGTAAGTCACACTGTCTGTAGTTAGCTTTACTGTAGACTTCTACATATAGTGACTCTGCAGCTCAGCCGTGCTCAGTGGTTGTAGTTCAGGACGGAGAGTTACAAAAGTCTGAGCTCCAAAGAAAGTGCTCATCCGATCATCTAACAACATCATTAGCTGAAACCTCCCATAGAAAAATGAAAGCAGTGCTGTCAGAGAGATGGATAGATGGAGGAATTCTTGGCAGACCATGAGTATTTATACCAAATGTCATGGTGACCTTTACCCCCAGCTGAGACCTTTGAGCCCTGCGGTCACCCAGGAACCCCCACCTACGGGATCCCCAGCTCCAACAAGCTCCACTTCAACGCAGGTGACACTCTCCACTACTCCTGCCTGACTGGTCACCAGCTGCTGGGGGAGCCTGTTCTCCACTGCGTCCCAGGACACCCATCCCAGTGGAGTGGGCTGCCACCTGTCTGCAAAGGTGAGGAACTGCAGCCTGATGTATTTTTCCCACATCATCAGTTCAAGCACAGTTCAGCACAGTGCCTGAGGGTCTTTAACAGCTTCTTAAACTACATAACCTAATTTAAGATGGTTAAAAAATACACACATGTATACAGTCATCCTAAAATATATTAATGAATAATAATAATACATGCATTGTCGCATAATTTATTACTTTTGTGGCTCAACTCAGCTGGTTAAATATTGTGCTACTTGCTAAGTTTTGTTGGTTTAAGAGTTTTTCATGAAAGCCTTATCAATTCACATGATCAAATAAAAGTGTCAGTAGAAACAGAAAAGCCACAATTATTGATCTATTATTTATTATTAATTTATTTAAGGTCTAAATACTTAATAGTGAAATCAACTAGTGCAGACCATCTGTAAATTACTGTCCCTCACTGAATCTCACCATGACAGTGTAGTCAATTTGAATTTACATGGATGACATTGGCTGAATGACCTCAGATTGAACATTTCATCATGGTGAGTGTGGTCAGTGTCTTTATCCTGTCCCGGTCCCCTCTCCTGCAAGTTGTACTCAGACTGTTGATGCACAACAGTGCACTTCTAGGTGTCAAGGTTTCACAACAGACCATTTATTTTATTTTACTGTTTTTCTTTTAAAAAGAGGCTCTGCTCTCTGAGCTGCCAGCATTCACTGCTGCGGTGGCCACAGACCCAACACCAAACACACAAGTGAGACTTGTTTTCCTTGAATGTCCTTCTGACAGCTTCCATGTTTACTGAACTGTGACCGCACAACATAGATCCTACTTTCTATATTCTGATATCAAGCTAATTATTTTACTGTGAAATACACAGATCGTGACAATCTTGTGTAATTTTGCAATTAACAATAAATAATTATTGTTCTTTTTTCACTGGGATGTGGAAGATGTATATATATATAACAATTATTCAAGCCTGACCTTTGTGCCACATTATCCGTTAAAACTCCATTTATTGGTGCTTTCATGCCAAACTCCTTGACAGACAACTGAACAAAACAAGAAACAAGCCAAACAAAGAAGACCGAGCTTGTTTCAAAAGAGCAGGAAAAACACATCAATCACATAAAAAGACCGGGGGAGGAAAAGTTGTGGCTTTGCTTTAATGCCTCTGGATTTTGTTGTCCTGACACTTTAAAGAAGGTTGTTCCAGTTTGGAGGCTGAAACAACAGAAGAGTGGCCTTTACTTTAAGTGTGCACCCTGCCCAGAGCACCTAAAGGAGACAGAGAGCTGTGAGGACACATTAGATATCAGCAGGACTGGAGGGAGACCTGCGCTGTTCTTAGAGATTTCACAAACGTGGAAAGCCTGAGATGCACATTCTTCATTGTGCCAACATGGAAAGCTGAAGGCAGGGATAGCAGCAGCAGCAGCAAGACACCCGGAGGGAACAGAGCAGAGTGGGACAACAGAAATGACACTGAATATATTAATGGTATGAAAAACGTTGGATCTGGGGTGGAGGTGGGTTGCAAAACAGCTGGCATAGGAAGCAGCCGGGGTAACCAGGCTGAAGCAGCTGAAACTATGCGAAAATGAATATATCTCTGATAATACTTTCCCTGTAAAATGTATTTCATTTGATTTTATTATGTTTTCCTGTGGTGAAAATATCTCATCTCCCGCTCAGGAGCAAGGAACATCTTCATATTAAGTTACTGAAGAAAGCTTGAACTCAACTGGTCCTGGATATCAGTCACACTTTGTCTTGAAGATCAGATCTGATGACTGGATACGTTGTTTTGTTTTTCTGTTTTCTAATTAAGGTCTTTCCCCGTATTCACCTTGTTCTCTCAAATGTTTTCTCCTCAGCCCACCCTGCGGGTTATGATGAGCACAGGTTAGATGGTGAGTTTCTCCAAGATGTTATTTACCTGCACTTTTTAAGTTCACATAAAAGTTTCTGTTGCTCAAAGAAAATGGAAAACTATCCACGATAAGTCAAATCGATTATAAAACTTTAATTAATTTAGCCTTTTCAAAATGAAACAATTGGTTTTTAATGAGTTAGTTAGACTGAGCTTTTATGAAACATTGAATGTAAGAGTTTGTTCTGAACAAAATAAATGATTTAACCCTTTTTATTTCCAAAAGTGTCTACGGCAGACGTCAGACTGGAGGGGGCCCAAGTGGCGTTTGCTGTCTTCATCCCTGTCATCCTTCTCCTCATCTTCATAATTGGGATGTACCTCTACTTCTCAAAGTAAGTTTGAATGATGAGTAAAGATGTTTGTGTATGTCTGTCCACTCAGCTTCTCTTTATCGCTGACGCAACACAAATCATCCTCATCAAAGCTTCTATTTCAGTATTTCTTGGATAGAAACAATAAAGTGAAAAACAGTTTGAGGTTGTTAGGAGCACTGGTTTCAGAGGAAAAGAAGGAAGTAAGTAAGTAAGTATATTTATTTACACTAGTAACAAATAATGTATACACAAAACATGAGTGGCTTACAAAAGGATTGAGATTAACAAAATAGCAAAAGGCACAAAAACTGTCAAATTCTAATTTTTTTCTGTTACAATGGCTTCACTATTTCTTGTTGTGTTGTGTTGTGGTGAGTTTTGAGTCTGAGCCTCGGCTGGACCTCTTAAAGCCACTTCAGTTTTATCTTGGCCGTACGCTCCAGCTCATTGTCGAGCGAAAAGGTGAATGTTCGCACCAGTCGCAGTTCATGTGCTCTGTGGAGCTCTCTGTACTTGGCTGTATCCTTAGATACTTCTCAAACAGGCTGGGAGCGGCCGACACCAGGAAAGGTTCTGGTGGTTCCACTCTTCTTCCAAGTCATAATAATTAAGGGACACTGTAAGCTTTTGAAATGCTTTAACACGCCTGCCCTGATCTGTGCCTCACCACGAGTTTATCCTTGAGGTCTACAGAGAGTTATTTGGACAATAAATAAATGAAGTAGTTAGACGCCACAGTAATTAGGGTTAGGTTAACCCTTCACATCTTGGAAAACGTTTTGGGACAGAATTTACTCAAAAGAGATAAACACGATTTTTGAAATGACTGTCACAGGATTGGGATCAAAGATTTCAGTAAACAGTGATGAAAATAGAAAGCAGAAGTGTTGCCAAATAAGAACATGCTGTACGACACAACAACAAAGTTTTTGTTGTCCTTTATTGAAGAGGTCTATTCACTACATGAACTCTGGTTCCATTATTTCAAGGTGATAATGACTTGTAAGAATTGTATGTATTGTACATGTAGGGTTAAAGATAATATCAATGCATTCTTTCTCTGTGGTGCTCAGGGTTCAGAGGAAGTCACTACAGATCTCCCTCTCCTCCAACTTACCATATGAAAACATCTCTGGAGAACCTGCGATTGACAGCTCTGTTTACGAGACAACGGTGAGTCAACATATGTTATGATTATATGATGGGACGTTTTGACCTGACTGGTCCTGGTGCAGGGTCTTTTGTCTACTGCATTATGCAGGCGCACCAGGCAGGAAGATGCAGCATTTAAGTGCAAAACTGAAATTCTACTATTTTTCGACACAGAGTGTCTCTCAAGGGCCTCGACATCAGGTGATAATGCAGAACCACTTTGAGCAGCTTGTCGTGACAGTTATTCGTTATTTGTGCATATTGCTAAACACAAATTCAATTAAATTAGCACAAACCAGTTGAGCCCCTGGACATGGCATGGTTATTAATAGGGCAGTGTGGGCAATATCCCCTGGGGTCCAAAACAGCCTGTAGTTCAATGTGCATAATCACATTTCTTGAAAATGTGTTTTTTGAGTTTCACCACTTCAGTGCCAAAATGCAATATTGCTTCAGGTTGCTGCCTGATTCTAATAGCACTGTTTCAAAATCTGGTTTTGCAAACCCTTAAAAAAAAATCCATTGTTCCCCTGGCAATTCTGTGGTAGGAGCTCTTTGACCCTGGTGCATTTCCTTGTACATTTGTTTTTTGGGTAAAAACCCTGTTTCAGTTATTGATTTTCATTGTATTGCTCAATATTTGGTGAAGGGACATTTCTATCCCTGGTCAAAAATCTCAATGAGACAGAAAAAGATCCGCACAAGTCATAACAGAAGTTAAACCTTCCAGCAAGACATGTGTGGAAATAAAACAGTGAGTCACCAAAACATTGTGATCTGCTCTCCATCTATGTATCCATTCATTTTCTGACTATCTGAAGATGGGTAGTGGTGGCAGCAGGTCATGACCACAGGAGAGGGTTGGAAGGGACCACAATGGTCCAATATAATATAACCACATTATGGCAACCATGTTATACAAGTATACAAATTCCCTTAGGTTGCCCTGAATATAAATATGAACAAGGTGCATCATCGTGCTAATTGATGATATTAATTACTTTCTTCTTCTTCTTCTTCTTCTTCTTCTTCCATGGCGGCGATCCTGAAGAACAATGAGGTGAGTTCACGCTAACCTGAAGCCGATCAAACATTACACATTACCACTTACTCCTCTCTGCCAGTGTTATCAAAAAACAACTGAGAGCACATCCGTGACCCACAAAGTCACAATGAGTGACATCATTACCATGATCAATCCCACATTCACTGTCCCTCTACCCCAAATACTGAGTAGAGCACTCAATGCGGATTAATTGGCAACTAAAAATAGACCCCAACAAACGCTCCTCCTGTTTGAATATTGCTTGATAAAAAATGAATTCCAGTGGCAGGAATGACTGAGCATTTTATGTCGTGCCACCATGCTTCATGATATTCAGGGCATTATGTTGTGATTATAATGTGACGTGTTCATTCTATTGTCTCACAGGAAACAAGAGAGTACGAGGTTTCGATCTGAAGACGCCAGTGTGTGTGTTTCAGTATGGACAGATAAGAAGCCCGCTGGCCTTTTCAATGTCCGTCAGACTCGCACCTTTGGTGACTCATTTGACGCCTCCACCCTTGTTCTCTGTACACCCAATATGAGCCTCCCTTTATTTACCCGACAGAGGACACCTCACCGCCCCTGGAAAGGCTGGGCCACTGGATTATTTTTCTAGCTCTTCAACAGTAACAGTCCAGCAGCAGTTTGTACAGTTTTTAATCCCGTGCTTGCATCCTGAGGACTTTCAGTGCAAGTGACATCTCAGAAAGGAGAAGGAATAGGTGCGAAGCTTGTGCCATCAAGTGCATATAACCACAGGTGTTGCATTGTGTTATGTACATTATACACTATATGTCTTCTGCCATCATTTCAAGAACAACCTGTGTGTTCATGGGATGTCTCTTAAGAGTAAGACCTGTCACAGCATAACAGCAGCATTTGCTTTCACAAGCAGTTGCTTAAAATTATTGCTCTTTGACTTTATGTGACCCATGAGAATCAGAATGTGCCTTAAATAAAAGGCCCTTTAAGGAATAACTGATGAGAACAGATGAGAAGACTGATATCATTCTCGTGTGCGTAAGACCAGAGCTTGAGTCGCAATGTGGTTAGCCTAGCTTAGCATTTGAGGAACAGCGGGGGCACATGGCCTTTCAAAGCAAAAAGAAAAGCTCTGCCATGGTTTAACCGTTACCACCACAGGTTTGAAAACTGTTAGCTTGTGAGGCTCAGCAGACATTTGTCATAGTTTAAACAGAACCAGACTTTATCCATCATGTTTGGTGTTCGCTCTTGCTCAGTCGGGCTGAACTCGTCTGTACCAGCTCTGTGTTTAACACATTCAATTGGTATTAATGTTCCCATTTCGCTTTGACAAAGAAAACAAATACGCCTATTTTCCAGAGTGTTGAACCATTTCTCAAATAGATACTGTTACCATGTTAAGGTTATACATTACACAGCTGGTGGATCAACCCCCACAAACTGTTTCCAACTCATGAGGATCATTGAAGTTTCAGTTTATATTTTAAAATGACAAAACTGATTGTGTGCGTTCACAGTAACATACAGAATTAAAGAATATGACATTTTGATTTCTACTTTTAGTGACATCCCATGTGTTGAACTGTCTATTAAGCTAAAGGGAACTGCACACCAAGGTAAGCCGGTGTTTATACAGTATTACCATTGCCTGAATGCAGGTTATGTCAAAGTTTAGACCATTACTGTCATTCAAACATTCAGTATATATTGTCCTAGGAGATTACAGTATGTATCCATGCAAGCTGGTGTGATGACAATGATTATAATCAACCTATTTTTGATTCAATGCACATAAAGTAATGATCAAGCGAACTTCACAAACATCTTCAATAAAAGGTATTGTTCAGAAAAAAAGACAATAAAGATTTGGTCTTATTTGCTTCATCTCCTTGATAGGTGAGTGAATGGTTTGTGTTCATTTGAGTTTGTGAGACAATGGGACCAGTTCCTGTTGGTTATAATCATCCAGAACTAATGACATGAGAGTGGTCAAGAGAATAAACACATTTGAGGAACTTTAACTTGTAAAATTGAGATTTATAGAATGTGACACTGACTCTGACTGCAACAGAATTGACTGTAAGTTTTGTTCAAGTGTTCTACATTGAACTTTCACAACTCACACTTTATCTTTAACAAGATAATGAAGATGAAAATGTGAACTTGTGAGTCATGCACAAATATTTGAAACCTATGGAGGACAACATTTCATTTGTCATTATAATTTATATTGATTACATTTTCTCTCTATTTTAGTTTTAGATGCAGAAGCACAAAATTGCAATGCGTTTTTACTGATTCGGAGAAGTCGGCAGAAACATCCTGTGAAATTAATGAAAATAAGCAATAATTGTAACGCTGCAATCATTGCAGCAATTCTAAAAGTAATTCCATTGAGCTCCAATTGAATATGAAGTAATCTCTGCCTTCCACTGCATTAAGTTTCATTGGGCCTCGCCAGTGCCTCCAGAAAAGAAATCAGGAACAGTGTGGTAATGAAGAAATGAAAATAGTCCCATTAAACGTGTTAATTAGCTATGTAATGAAGTCATGACATGAGGAAACTGCAGTGCATCTGTCATTCGTCATGATGTATTACGTCTGCTGGCTAATGGATTTCTTTTTTTAATCAGGCCTTAAACACTCTATAAACTTACAGTCCAATGCATAACTTCTGTTTTTATCACTCAAATTATTAATGTGAATGATCTCAGAGTGTTGATGTGACAGTAATCAACCTCAGTGATGTGTGGTGCCGCTAAATGACAACAAGCGGTGGATGAGGTCAGTGCTGCTGTGCATGTTGTCCTCGTTTTCCAACTGAACTGGAATAAACATGAAGCTCATTTAATCAGGATGTCGACAAAATAAATCCCACAGGAAAAGAAAAGTTCATGAGAATGAGCAAAAGACAACTTGGTTGCCCACCATAGCTGAGAGAAAGGTTTTCCAAAAAAAAGCACAAGCACTTGCTTTTCAAATAATCATTTCAAATAATCTTCAAGAGCAATGCAGTTTAGAGTTCAATTAATATCTATACAAATTCAACTGCAATCCAAGGATCCATTGTGGTGCCATGTGCTGAAGCCTGTTTCCCCGTCGGCCATTTCTTAACCTGAACACTAAACTCAAACCTCTCATCTCTACAAAGCCAAACAGTAACCTAATGTCAACCTGTCAGAGGAAACACTATTCAAGGTAAAAACAGAATTCAACTGAAGACCTGGACACAAGACCTGGATAAAGAAGCACGTCCATGAGCAAGCCAGATAAAAACTGCTGGTTACTTTGGAGAGGACTGGACTGTTGAGTGTTAGCGTCTGCAAGAGCCAGTTGGATTGAGAGGAGAGAGTGTGTGTGCAACAATGGTATTAATAATGTCTCGTGCTGTGACCTAACGTCACCACTGAACATGTGGGCTGAAGCCCATGGAGACAAAGACATTTACACTGCTGCGATGCAGAGAGATAAATAGATGGGATTTCTTAATACTTCATTTGTGATAGAGTCAAACTGTGAACAGTGGCGATCATCCATTTCACCATCACTCAAACATACTGTGACAGAGTGCTGCCTCCCTCTGCTGGCAATAGCTTCTTATTACACATCGTCCACCAGACAGGGACGTGTCTGACACAAAGAATTATGACCTTTATCTTTGTCTCCTGTCATTTTCACCGATCATCATCTTTTATTTGTTATAATTGTATTTTATTATACAATAGAAACATTCCCTGACTCATAAAAAAAAAACAAATATGCATTATAACAGTGTATGTAAATAACTAACTGAATAGATAAAATAAATAAGATGAATTTGAACAAGTTGAACAAGAAGGCACAAGCGCTCCCCCTGCTGGTGCAAGTGATAATAATGGTGTTGAAGTAGTGATGGCGAGAGGAAGAAGAACAAGTAGTGACGGCTATAGAAGAAGTTGAAGTAGTAATGGCTATAGAAGAAGTTGAAGTAGTGATGGCTATAGAACAAGTAGTCATGGCTATAGAATAAGTTGAAGTAGTGATGGCTATAGAACAAGTAGTAATGGCTATAGAATAAGTTGAAGTAGTGATGGCTATAGAATAAGTTGAAGTAGTGATGGCTATAGAATAAGTTGAAGTAGTGATGGCTATAGAAGAGGTAGTAATGGCTATAAAAGAAGAAGTAGTGATGGCTATAGAGGAAGTAGAAGTAGTAGTAGCCAGCTGGTAAGGAGTGTGGATCAGGATGTGTTGCATCATCTACTCTATATCAGAATCAGAAATACTTTATTAAATCAACTTAAGACAATGAAACAGTATTCCAGAAAACACTTGCTCTTTGACTTATTTTGCAGGACATCTCTTAAATCAAAACCTACTTTAATCTTACCAAGGTTTATTCTTCCTTGCTCCACATTTCTGTCAGCCTACCATGACCTGATGGATCGTTTCCTCTTGTCCCGGTCCTGGTGTGTCCGAACCCGAGAATTGGTCCTGTCTTCCTCCCATGTCTTCCTCCAATGTCTTCCTTCCATGTCTCCCTCCCATGTCTTCCTCCCATGTCTCCCTCCCATGTCT